AATCACAGACAAACAAAAGGCTCTCTGCATTGGAGACAAGGATAAAGATATTTAATTTAGGTCAAAAAGAAGATTACAGCCAGAATTTGTATCCATTACAAGAAAAAGCAGGTGCATGATAGTTTTAATTCATCAAAGTATTCCAAGTCCAGTAAATAATCTTTATTAACCTTTTTTCCCCTAAGAGTGACCATCATCTCCTTACAATATTACCCCTGAATCAAACCTTAAGGTCACAAGTATAAAGAAAGTCGAATGCAACTGACCCAACAAAATCCCCCATCCCCCCTCCTTGCCCAGACGCAAGTCGTATTATAATTACGAGAACGTGATTCCAAAGTTGTTTTTGGTGTAGCCTTTAATCAATAGACGCTCTTTTGAAATTGTTTTGATTGGTCCAATTTTGCTCTTGAACAGAATTCGTTTGTGTAGTTTGGACTGACGAACTAACTGGTGCCGTGGAGCAGGAAAATTTCCTGCTCGACAAAGGGCGACTGAAGCTGCAGACAATACAAGAGGCTTTTAATGCTTCTCTCATCAGGATATATATTGGTAAGAGATCTCATTACATGGCTCTAGAATAGATGGATACATTTGCTACATGGATATCCTTACGAAGTAAGGAGACAAATAAATCAGAACAACATTTTTTTTTACTTCAATGGATTAGGGAAATGGTAACTTTTGCGCTCGGTAATAAAATAGAGAACGGTGTTTTCTTGTTTTTCTTTCACGAGTGTAGGACAAAGAAAAAGTTCTCAGGCCCCTTGAGATCTGTTTACGTACATGACGCTTTCGATTAGGCTAATCCAAGCAGATTGTAGAACGCGTGTGACGGATAAAGCTAGTAACAGCCCACCTTACCATCAAGTTCTCTGTGGCTCACTGGTAGAGCATCCGAGTGTGGATTCCGACGGTCTGACGTTCGATTCCTTTGGATTTGTTTTTCTTTTTTCCGCGCTCATGAGAAGACGAAAAACTCTCTCTCAATCTCTTCGTTTCCTGAGCAATTAGGAGCCAATCAAAACCGGCTACTTTCTCTAGCATGCGGACGGTTTGGAAGGCACCGGTGCCGCGAAGATGAAAAGCGGAGATGCAACAAAAGAGTTAGCCACTCAGGGAGTACTTTTCCCGCGCTTTCCACTATTATTAGCTGGTAACCAATCAGAAAAGGGCCGCTGTTTTTTGACCAACTAGGATAAATTGAATCCCTACAATGAAAGCTTTCGCGCGCTTTTAACCAATTGCGCCTTCCTTCAAAAGACATCGCTTTATGCGCCCCATTTTGTCATATGATAATTAAAAAGATTAATAAAACTATTTTTGTTCCTGTTTTAGGTGATGTACCTTGTATTGTTTCCTCTGGAGAAGGTGATTTCGTCCCAATACGTTTTATCAGCGGCTCCACGGTTCAAATGTGTGGACATTCTAAACATCACTCGGCGAACACATGAACTGAAACTTCTTACTTGAATTAATTCCATATAATTGACACGCTGCGGTGAAATACGAGGGAGTGCCAGGTTTTGTGGTTAGGAAGAGAAGAGATCAAGACTTATTTTCCATTTTTACTCCTTTAACTCCCCTTGAGCCACGCCTTCTCTCAATATGGGCAGGAAGCAGACCAAAACTACAGGCTAGTCAGCCAATGTAGCCGGTTACTTTCACCCCATTATACCATAGGTCCTGATGAAAAATCGCAAAAAAATTGAAAAACTATCGAAGAAATTTTTTTCATCCGCCATTTCCTAATGTGAGTTGAATCGAATGCATAATGTTCCAGTAAAAGGTTTATATGTGTATTATGATTCCTTGTTCAGAATTTTCTCGGTGGTGTGCGCAATTTTCTTGGAAAGCATGTGACATTTTAACTGAGTTGATCCAGGACTAGCGCGTAATCTGACAAAAAAGTGGCGTCCACGATAACTTAGCCACCAACGAGTGCTGTTTGCGGTCCACTGTCAAACTTATAGACCACCCTGTTCACCAGGCTTGCATCATTTAACTTGTGTCTAGAAATGGGCCATTCACTAGGTACCAGCAAGGAGATCTTTCACTTCAAAATTTTTGTGACAATTTGAAGTTTAGACTGTAAGGATATGGATGGAGACAGAGGAGACCAGCAAAGAGAAAGGACCGGTTCGCTAATGACTATTTTTTTGTAATATACAATAAGCGGCGATTGGTGTATCCATTTTAATTTTATAAAGTGCAAAAGAATCGCGCCAAGTCTGGGTTTACAGTGAACTTTTTTGTATATTCTCCCAGCGTCATTTTGTAGTAGTAAATCAACTCCATTAATCTGAATGTTACTCGTTTCGTAAACTTTGCTTGAACTCGTTTTTGGAAGGTTGCCAGACACACTTCCTCTTATTATTGATTTACTTGACGAAATGACACAGGAATGTACTACGATAGACTGGAGAGATATAACGAAAGAAAAAAAGGGACATGGACAGGTTGGCTCGCGAGCTAAGTGGTCCAACCTGACAAATCAAGCTCTTATCTGGGTTTTCCTTATCGAAGGGACTTAGAATTGCAGTTGGTCCTTTTGAATAAGACGCTATCCTATCTAAAGTTACGACTGCATCTCAGCCCTTCATCAAGTTTTCCTAGCAGTCTAACAGTTCCCATTCACAATCTTGAGTACAATGAGGCATTGTGAGAAGAAAGTGTCCTTTCCAAAAACAAAACCAGGGCACCGCTGGGGCTTGGGAACGGACCTCGTGATCCGGAGTAGTATGCGCGCAGGCCATCAGCGCTACGGCAAGAACGTTTCTTCGACCGCTAGTAAGTTTAACGCCTTGAACAAAGCGAGCTAGTTAGAGGTCTGTAGATCTGGTACTAATGTTATCAGTACCAGACCACTTGCAGACCTCTCGCCAACAATCGTTACAGGGTCTCTTTTTTTCTCCATTTAGGGAGTGATTCACAAATACACGTCGTTCAAGAAACCCTATCAAAATTTCCTATCGCCCAAACCTTACAAGAGCACTAAGGATTATGGGTCCAATCTATTTTAGAGTTCAGTCTCCCTTAGGCCAACTGACAAAACAAACATGGCGGATGACAGGAAAATTAGCGCTGAGCAGCAATTTAACTGAAGCAGGCCGATCCAGCTGGAAGATACCGAAATTAGCATGGATCTCATAGAAAGAGTACAAAGAGAACTTTCCAGCGAAGAGCGGTGTATACAAATATCCTTTTATCCATTTATTTTAGTAAATTTAGGGTTACAGTTAGCGCTTCAACTTGATGTGTTCACTACGAGTTGGTATGTTCATTCCTAAACAAGTTGTTAAGTGGTAAACTCTTTTGGAACTGGTCAAACTCAGGTTGAATTTCAGGATGCTTTCTTTGCTTTTATTACGTGTAGAAACTTGAGTTGAATTCGGCTTTTTTCGAGATTTGCGGTGGAAAGTGAACATTATATTAAAGATCGTCGCCAGTGCCCAGCTTTGGTGGGAATCGCTAGCTCAGACTGTCCGACTCCGTGTGAAATTTAATGAGGTTTCATTTCAGGGGTGAAATCCTAACAAGGACGAATTATCTAATGGCAGATAACACCGCAACCGAACAGCTGTCACTTGTAAAAGCACTCTACAAGGAAGGTTTCATGAATAATTTAATTCTAATTTCATGACATACGCGCATGTAGTCTCCAAAGGTTAGCTATGAGTTTATAGATTTGGGTTCAGTTATTATGGCGAAATTTTGCTCGATTCTGTCTAATATCAAACCACCTAATCAATTAATTTTCACTTAGTTATGATGCTCGAGAAGACCTGTCACCACTAATGAGACTGCAACATGATTCACTTGTAAGGTAGTCTTCAATTTATCTTTGAATCACTCACGTATTCCAGAGTGACCAAAAGAATGTATATCTATATTTAATATGCTGCAGTTTTCTGTGAATTTATTACCATAATAAATATTTCTAGGCTCAAGACAGATTGCTAGTACATGTACAGTTATTTATTGAATTGTTGAGGACATTGATGGAGTATTGCTTTGGACATCTGTATAAATTTTACAGTTATATTGAGTTATGAATATTGTATCAACATGTTTATGGCTGTAATATATATCTTTTTCATTCTACACACTCTTTATTTAAAGAAATATATGGTTTACAAAACTTCATGTCCTGCAAATAGCTACAATGCTAATCTAGGCAGGACAAGACTTTAACTAAAGGTGTTATTAAATTACATAAGAAAAAAGAAAAGGAGAAATACAAAAACATACAGAAAGAAACACCTTACATATAAATTCAAGTACAAGGGATTTTGTTATTTGAAAAAGACTAAAATTACAACTAGAGGCATATACAATATATCAAGTTAACTTCACAAAATATTCTATTAAAAAATTAACATTCAAATAATTATCTTCATTACCTAGAACATTAAGGAGTAGTGATTTAATTTTTTTACGAAAATTAGAAACGTTGAGAGTCTTAACAGAAAGTGGAATAGAATTCCAAATAGACACACCGATTCTAGTAAAAGATTTTTTCATTTTTTCAGTTCTAGAGAATTTGACAGAGAAGCACTCTTTTGCAGATAATCGCGTATTATAATGATGTTCTGTATTGATTTTCGCAAACTTATCGAGAAGTCTTTTTCTTTTTACAGCAGTGAGCTCATGTGTGTCTGTATTGTGTGGTTGTCATTCTGAACTTTATTGTTCTCATGTTTTTATTGTTGTTGGGAAACAATCAAGTCTTACCCCACATCCTTTTGTAATCTGACAGCCCATGAAAATGAGCTCGCATTTTCCTTGTAGGTGGATGGACACTACTTTGCGTGAGCAGATTTATTTTATGCTTTGCAGCAAAACACATTTGTTAAAGTCTAAATTAGATACAACCATTTTTGAAGGCAATTATTTGGTGAGCTAATGAGACCAATAAAAGGCAAAAAAATGATCATTTATTTAATTACTTAATTTATTATTATTATTTATTGTTAGTGATTGAATTTAATGATGATGTACTTTCCTTAATATTGTTTACTGCACCACTGGAGTTCTACTGAAGGACAACAATAAAGTTCATTGTCTTATGGCTCTTATTGCAAGGAATCTGGATACTGGGTATGTACATGATTGTATATAAAAAAAAAAGAGATGTACATGTCATCATACAAAATTTAATTGTTAGCACTGGTATTTATACTAGATTAAGAGTGGAGCTCATGCTCAAACAATTAATTATATATCTGAGTGTAAGGTCTTCTCTTTTCCTTTTTATTTTCCTTTCCAAACAGATTAATCATCTTCCAGTGGAAAGATGAATCATCTTTTAAAGAACCTTTCCTTATTGTCCTGTACATTTTTGCTATTCGTGGACCTTTTTCACTTACATCTGTTGCTGGTATGTTATGCTGAGCACATGTTATTTCATATTTAGCTTGAAATGATTTCTTGGTCAAATTGATTTTAAATGTAAACAAGTTTGATTTTCAAATTCCTCTTGTTTCAGGGTAGACATCATAACTAGTAAACAAGTGTAAAGTAAATCAAGCCAGTTCAAAGTCATTTTTTCCTGGAATTCATTTAACCACAATGCTATAATGGTTTAGGTTACGTTTTGGCTTTTTAAAAGTGTGCAAATTCTAGTGGGAAAGCATTTTGGTCAAAAAGTAAATCTATGTGTGAACATTTTATATGCACAGATCAACTCTGATCTACTGGCAGAGGGTGCTGATTTTTATTTATTATTTTATTTGTGCACCTAGATCCACCAAGTAGTGATGGCAGCAGTAAAGAGGGTAATATATTTGTAATGAAATTTTACTTATCATAAAAAAGATGTTAGGTAATAATCTTGTTAGGAGGGTGTGATTAAAACAAAAATCAGCTTGTTGAGTTCTTTGCTTTGATGTTCTACCACACAACTTCAGAGTTTAGCAGATTAAATATCTTAAGTGATCCTATTGTAATAGGTATTTTGTTTGCTTATGCCCAAAAACTCAATTTTACTCCCAGGCCTCACTTTCAAGGCGCTGACTGATTAATTTTCATTATAAAATATTCCCAAAACAATGAAATACAGATGCCAATGCGACTAAATTTTTCACTTTGGCGACCAAATCCTGAAAATTAGTTGCCAAATTGGCGACTTGAATGCTTCATCATAACCTTACCTAGAGATATAATGAATTAAAAAGATTTGCAAAGATAAATCCACGGCAAACTTCCTTGTTAAATTTTATGTCCAAAACGCAGTGCAGTACAGTATATCATCCATCCTAGTGTCCACTTTGTAGCATGTTAAAGATCTTTTTCCTGACTTAATTTTGGAGGGTCTATCTAGAGCGCTGACAACATAAAAAAAGGGTTTTGTTTGTCTTAAGAAATGGCGACGAACTTTTTTTGAATTGGCTACCACTTTGAAAAATTTAGGAGCCAAGTGGCTATCAGAAAAAAATTAATTTCACACTATGTATGAAGAAACTGTAATCAACAGTAGAAACTTGTTGGTTGGCAAGATTTTAATTTCGTTTTGATATCTTCTCCCAGGTATGGTCAGGTTTCAGATCTTGACTGATGACCAGACAAGGCTTCTCTTTGAAGTGAAAAAAGACAATCATGGAAATATGTTCTTGCGTGAATTGAACAAAGCCATTGCAGGTGAACTAATCTTTTCATCAATTGAACTAATAATTATTTCCAAAATTTGACCACTTGCAGTAATTTAGGTTTTCTCTTCAGAATCAGTTTCCCTTTCTTATCAAGCAGTATGATAAAACTAGCCTTGTTTGCATCATATTGGAGGGATTGGAAATAGCAGCTTGGTGTATGTTCACAGTTAGGCCTATGGTCCATACTGTCCTGTACTACTAGTGGTGCTTTTTGTAAAAGCCAAATGAAAGTCACAGCTCTTTCTGCAGGTTTTTCTTTGGTGAAGGGACCAATCGCCCAAACATGTGTCACAATCAGGATTTTTTTTTTACTGTATGTTTTCAAATTTTATTCAACATAGTGTGGAAGGCAATCAAAGTGAAATGGCCAAAGTTGATACATCTGTTTGTTTTGCTTTGCTCACATAGCTTACAGACAGAGGGCTCATCTGGTCGGTATGCCTGAATTTGAGTGGCTGAAGAGATATCAGGAGCTGACTGGAAGGAAAAGTTTTTCAAACAAAGGTATATAATTAGAGGGTGTATGGAAAAAACATGATAGGTGATAGAATCCTAAATTCTCCTTTCAAGTTGTTTCACTTTTTTGTGAAATACAAGGAGAATATACTTTTGCATCAAGAGTTTCTTTATAGTGGCTTTATATCATACACCTTGTAAATTTGTTAGAGATCTCAACTAACAAAATTATTTATTCAAGTTTTTTCATATATTCTATATACTTGTCTGTAAGAGGGTTTCTAAGGCTTTTTTTTCAAAGCATCAATTTGGTATTTATTTGGAATTGGGAAGGTTTCATCTTATGCTGATTTATATAATAAATAGATGGCTGGCCTTGGAGTCACATTGAAGAAGCAAGTTCTAATGGACCAGAATTTGTTACAGGTACCAAATGAAAATTGTGCTATCAAATTTCTTTTGCAAATGTGAATAGGTTAACTTGGAATTTTCAAATTTTCAAATTTATTGTGCAGCAGAATATCATCTTTTAACTGTATATACAGTTGTATTATTTTCAAAAGAGCTTTTAAATAGCTTACTTTTAATACTTTACGCAGTATTTGGAAACATGAAGGTACAGTATTTATATCACATCACAAATAATAAATATTATCATGTGACCTATATGGCCTTGCTCAATTAATCCTAAAGAAAACCACATCATAGCACCTGGCATGTGAAAGGGCAGGTGGATTGATATGAGCACTTCAGGAAAACAGTTGTGCTTTGCTAACCCTAAGCATTTGTGCAACACTGCTGCATTTTCCAAGAATGCTATTTCTGCTTTTGGACTTGAACTAAAAAAAAAAAAAATGAGACAAACAGAAATGGGAAAGTAAGCAGGTATTATGCGGCAATTATTTTCATTCTAGCCACTGAATCCAAAGTTGATGAAGGATCCCTGGATGCGTTTGGAATGCCAGGTTTTTCACCATCCCCTACCATCCACCCATCATTTTCATCAGCAAGTCTTACTGCATCTGATGAAGTGGATAAAGGTATGGCCAACTCACCAGCTTTAACCAGGAGATCCATCCTTCCAACTAGTGTTGGTGCCAGAGATGGGTTTATTAAGCTCCACATGGCTAGAAGGGAGGAAGAATACACTCACGTAAAAACACTAAAGTAAGCTGACATGTTCCTTTTGGTTTTATGTTTAAAAAAAGGAAAAAAACTTGAAGGGCATGGTGACACTAGCAAGTTATGCCATTTTCACTCTACTGAGGAGAAATTGCAAATTGAATTTTAATCAGGAGAAGTTACAAATCTTCTCTCCAAACACAGAATACATAAAATGCAATGCTTTCCTGTTTAACCTCACCAGATAAATTTGAAAGCCCAAAAATTGCTGACAGTGTAATTAATTGGCTGCATCCTTGATTGTACATTTGACTCTGGCAATATGAAAAGCTGTATGTTCCATTGTAGGCAGTTTTAAGAGTAATATTTTTGGTAGTGAATGTTTTGATAAGTTTGGACAGGGGGCCTAAATATAGGAACAAAGCAAAGATATCTTATGGAGTGAAGTGGATGAACACTTTCTGAAAAGGTCATACAAATGCTCACAATACTTTAGGTGTGCTTACTATATGGTGGTACAGTATTTTGAAAATGAAATTTTGACAAATAGATACACTTGGGCAATGGAAATAATTATATATAAATTTTGCTATCAATGTACAACAAGAACAACAAATGTACGACTGGATCCTCTTGTGCAATGGATCTACATGACATCTAACTGTACTATCAATGTACAACACAGTAACATGGTTTTAACCCTTTAACTCCCAAAATCTCATTAGTATTTCTCCTTACTGTCTGTCAAATGATCATTGATTCATTATTTAGTTGGAGAATTTGGTATTGGATCAATTAGTAATCCCAAAATCGACATTTTTCTTTATTCTCATCACTTGTCTGCATGGTATTGTTTAGAAATTATGAGGAGAAATTCTGCCTTGGTCACTCATGGGAGTTTGAGGTTTAACTGTAGTGATTGTCCTTAAGCCAAAGTGTTTCAATTGTCTGACTCCTTTCGTTGTGATTTGCATCTTTAGGATCTTTGTTGGGTCATGGAATGTTAATGGTCAGTATCCTGCAGAGGATGTTACACCTTGGCTAGCAGTTTATAAAGATCCTCCTGACGTTTTCTGCCTAGGGTAGGATGTTGTTCTGACCTGCTCATTAATTTTAGTGTAGTGTAGTGACAAACCTGTAGCACATTTACAGTTTGCTAAATATCTAATATGTGTTTTATTCAATTGCACCGTCCACTCTTTCATAATGGCATCAACAGAAGGTGGGTTGTTTTGCAGTATATACGATGGAAGACAAAATGAACACTTTAATTGCACAGTGTTGATTAAAAATGCAATCCAATTAAGACAGTTTTAACTGTTTTTATTCAGTTTGTGAACTCTTGTAATTGCAATTTGTACTATCCTTTTTTCCCAGTTTTCAAGAACTTGATCTCAGTGCTGAGACACTGTTAAAGAATGTTACTCCTAGAGAGGATGAATGGCTTAAAATTTCAGAGAAAGGACTACCTCATAAAGCCAAGTACACTAAGGTGACAAGGAATGCCAGTTACTTTCCAATAAATATATTATTTTGTTTTTGGTTTGATTTTGGGGACAAGAAATTGACAAAACACTCTCTCTAAGCTGGCGACTTCTTTTACACAGCCCTGTACAAGAAGGAATGCATAAATATCCATCAGAACATGAGTATGCTGTGCAAATGTAGTAATGTTGAAGTTTTTCTTACAAGAGTTCTTTTATGTATTCAGGCCTTCTTTAAGGGTGCAATAAAAAAATGAAATTACAGTTGTTATAGATGAATTTTCCTGGATGAATAATGCCACTAGAAAGGTCCATTTTGTTACAAAGTCATGCCAAGCATGCAATTTTTCACAGAGCAGCTTCTCTTATGTGAATAACAAATTTTTATCATGCAAATATTAACCAGCAGGTCATATGTAAAATTTGCAACTTCACCTCTGGCTATGCTTTTCTTTGATTGGTGCATTCCATCTTACAGAAGAAAGAAGATGTTAATTTTAGTCATGAAATATCAACTTTTCATCATTTTTAATTGATAATACATGTATACAAGTGTTTTTGCGTCTTAGGTACAAGGAAAAAAATTCAACAAACAAACTTGAAAGTTCACATGCTGAAAAAAGTTTCCAAATCACTATCACCATCACCATTAATACAGAATTAAACTTACCCTGTACCTATTTCTTATGCAGTTTTAAATTTATATTTTCACACAAGGTGATGAATGTTTTTGTGATCTTACCAGAAAAGATTTGATATGACAAGAGTACACAATTTATAATGGAAGATTTAGTGTATTTTAAAGTGACTAATAGATATTGTGTTTTCACAGGTGAAGACAATTCGTCTGGTTGGCATTTTACTGGTAGTGTTTGTGAAAAATGAGCATCTACATTTTGTCAGTAAAGTTGAGGCTGAAACGGTGGCTACTGGCATCATGGGTCTCATGGTGAGGGAGCAGTTTAACAATTTTGTTTTCCAAAGGCAATTTTGTTTTTTTAGCCACTGCCAAAGTCAGAGCAATATTATTGATGAAGGGTACTCTCCCACCGATGCAGCACCACAGTTTCTTTAGAAACTTACCCCTTTATTCATATGAAGGGAAAAATATGTGTTGATGAGATACATGTATGTCACCTCAGATCTTGGGATCCTTGCTCCTTTGCTGTACCACTGAGCTACAGAGAATTCAAGGGTCTAAGCCACCATAGCAAAGTGATCTTTTCTACCAAACACATCAGGGAATTCTTAATATGTACTGTTCCTAAGCCTGTGTAATAATGTATATTTTTGCAGTTGGTTGATGTTCATGTAGCTGGTTGTATTCCTTTAACTTGCAAGCAAGTCCATTGTTTACTAGCAGATGTACTCACCAATTGGCTATCTCCTGGTTGAAAGAAATTTAGCTGTAGCACAAAAACAAAATTTTTCTAGGATTTTACTGGCTTTGATGGCTTCACCAATCTGTTATTGGTTTCAAAAACTTGTGCCATATTCTTAACCATTAAGATGTTCTGAAACATAATTGTTACATTATCACCTGTGTTTTCCCATGGCAAGGGTCTGTAGCATTAAATCTTTGCTTTTTATCACTCCTCTGGGATGTTTTCTCATAGTTTTTTTTAATTGATTGGCCATAGTGATTGAAAATTGGAAGCTACCGTGTAGATTAATTTTCTTGTGTGTTTGAAACAGGGCAACAAAGGAGGGGTGGCCATTAGAATGCAGATACACAACACCAGTATTTGTTTTGTGAATTCACATCTAGCAGCTCACACAGAAGAATTTGAAAGAAGGAACCAGGTAATGAATTATTTTATGCCAATGATTGAAATGTATGTCACAATCAATTTGTTCTAGTCTTCTGTAGGAGTGTACAAGTGCCTTCATAAAGTGTATGTATATTGAATTACTGATAAAATTGAAATGAAATAATAAATTGAAATGTGGGGTAAATTATTTCCTTTAAACCTTTAGGACTATCGAGATATTCTAACCAAGCTGGAGTTTAATGGAGCCGATGGGTCTCTTTGTATAACTGATCATGAGTAAGTCAGTGAAGTGTGCTTCTAACGTTTCTTTATTTTCTTTTTGGAAGGCACAGTGGAGAGTTTTGATTGGCATTGATTTTTTTGTAATTGTCTTTAATACAAGGAAAATGAGTGAAACGTAGTTTATTGAGGAAGTGAAGCACCAAAGAGGAATCAGCTCTCGGGAAGAAGGGATGATCTAGGACCAGGAAGATGAATGCTTAAATTTCACATCACAAAAGTGACGTGGAAGGCTAAATTTTTCAATTTTAATAGCTACAAACTATTGAAAACCAAACCATCAGAACAAGGGATAAAGAAAAGTTGGACTTCCACAGGGGTAGGGTGAGGTGGGATGTTGGTGTTCATTGAAAAATATCCTCCCATCCCTATCTTAACAGTGATGTTTTTTTTTTGTCGTCTTTTAGTGCAGTGTTCTGGTTAGGAGATCTAAATTACAGAATTAGCGAAATGGATTCTGATTTGGTAAGAAGACTGGCAGATACAGGGAAGTATGAGGAACTCTTAGAGAATGACCAACTAATCAAACAAAGATCTGAGAGGAAATGCTTTAATGGTTTCAAAGAGGGCAAGATCAAGTTCAAACCAACGTACAAATATGATCCTGGGACAGACAACTGGGACACAAGGTGAATTTGGCATAATCACAGTGTTTACAGGGCACATGTAGTCTGAATAAAGTACAATTTTATTCCTATAAGGGACCTTTTTACGGATATTTTGGGTAGTTGTGAGACTCTTTAGACTGGAATTGGTCGGCTGAGTATTGATCAGGGAATGTTTCTTTAAGTATAATTGTTTATGTCAAGAATTAACTGCTTAGAGCACTACCCTCAATTGGTACCATTTTAATTTTTCTAAGCTTTCCTTTTCCCAACAACGATGTTGCGCTTTAAAGACCACTTAATGAAAGCCAAGAAAATTTTTCATGGAGTTCGATTATGTTTTGAGGGGAGACGCGTGCCTATTCCACGTTACGAGATCTTCCCACGTAATCCTGTGCAAAGTGACTGGCTGTTTTACTCGGTGCCAAATATGATAATATTTGTCAGGCCCAACTCGCTTTGGTGGGAGCGATTTTGAGAGGACTCAAAATGGGTTGAAACTTCCCTAACTCCATTTCAGTTTGGGTCTGTTTTACCCCTGAACCTCCAGAAGTGACTAGCATGTAATGTCTTTTTACAATTAAATATCAATACATTATAAAGCAATGAATTGAATCGAAGAGGTGCGTGGCAGCTACATGAGAAAATTACAAATCAAGTTTTAAGAGTTGAGAGTTGAAGGACGGGTGGCAAAGTCATGTTGACGGGTACAGCAGACAATAGCTCCACAGCTCGAAGAAAAATAAAAGAAATATGAGTATTCTAACATTAATTCGCTCGTTTTCAGTGAGAAAGGTCGCGCACCTGCCTGGTGTGACCGTATTTTATGGAGAGGATCTCGAGTTAAACAGCTGGAATACCGTAGTCATAATTTACTTAAAATCAGTGACCACAAGCCTGTTAGCTCTTTGTTTGAAGTCGGGGTGAGTGTTAACCATGCATTAGTGTTAACGCATCACAGCTAGAGTGACAAACGTGTACCTCATCCACACACATATTTATTCCCTTCATACCCAGCCTTTGGCAAGACAAAAACAAAGTTGTCAAACTGCTCCCTCACCTTGAGACCCATGACGATGTTTCAACATCAACTTCACTGACATAACGTAGAGCTCTGAAGTAATGTTTTAATTTTCATCCTCTACCCCCCTGTCCCTTGTATCAAATCACGAGAAAAGTCGGGCCATCATTATACAGCGAGTAGTAATACGTTCATACGTACAACATTAACGTTATGAGGTAAAGTTTCTTTGTAGAGTCTATGTGATTTCAAAATGAAACCTTCATCAACATTTTGGTCCAAATCTCGATTAAGTTAACTAAACTGTTGAAATATCAGATCTACCTTGATTTCAAGCCAGTAAAGATCTTAGGATAATAGGATTCTTTTTTAAATAACGTAATTCATTTCTTCATTTGCGCTCGCTTTTTGCCGGAGACTCTGTGACACTTAAGTGAGCAAAAGTTAGCTTTAGGTGTGAATGCGTAGGACATAGCTTGTGGGCATGTTTTTATTATTATACACTTATAATCATTATAAAATAATTTAAATAGTACGCGCGCTCTGATTGGCCATAAAACCATTTTACATGAACGTATGTAAACACGGTTTTCGTTCCTCTTTCATTAGTTATTTTATAAAAGAAATGTAAAATGGTACACACACGAGATAATACGCGAAGCGGAGTGGTTTCCTACGCTTATCTCGTGTTCTCCCAACCTCCCGCGTGTTTACATCAGTCTATGTAAACACGGAAACCATTTTACATTTCTTCAACAATAATCAGTGTCACTTTGAGAAAAAAACTCTTTTTTTTCACAGGTCAAAGTTGTTGACGTAGAGCAAGAAAGACAAGTTATGGAGGATGTCATTCGAAGTCTCGACAGACACGAAAACGACAACCTTCCTCAAGTCAAGTTAAGCACTGCAGAGGTATTGTACAGAAGATATTTACAAAATGTTTCTTGCAGTGTCGGGTTTTTTGTATTCTGGTTAAGATAAGCTCGGGTTAGTGTGAAATCTGATTTCATATGTGAAAGCTTTAAAAGAAAATTCAGTACAATTTTTTTTGTCTACAATCTGATAATTGGATGCTCTAAAAGGAATAGAAAAATTGTCGTATAAAGGCTTTTAAACAAAGAAATATGGAATCCCAGAATAAAATTCAACCATGGGTTAGCGCTAATCGGCCTTCGAACAACTGGGCCCAGGTATTTAGTCAGCTTATGAACTCGTTTTTGTTTGTTTGTGCTTCAGATTATTTTCAAAGATATCCAGTTTCTTGAGAGACAGACGGCTACCTTGGAAGTTGAGAATATTGGTCAGGTTGGTGTTTTCGTCTGCTATTTCTATCAAATTTTTCTTCAGCTTTGTCCACCAGTTCACACAGCGCTGTTTGCTTGTCTCTCTATCAAAATGCTATTCTTACAGCTTACAACCCTTGTTGGCCCTTTTCCCATGTAAATTCATTCCTTTCATTATCAGGAGTGGTCATTGGATAAATTCTCCCAACAATTCTAACATACCGCTAGACAGACAGGCGATGAGAACTAAGATAATAATCAACTACAGGATATTTAGGACTTGGCTCGGAATTCTTAGAACTAACCCTCCAAAAACATTTATTGATGGGGTAAGTTTCCAGAGAAATTGTGGTGCTGCTCGGTAACGAGATGATTTTGGTTTTATTAATAGAGTTGATGATGTAAATTGGCCATCGTAAAAAGTTGATAATCATGCCCTTCAGTTACGAGAATTAATTAAGGTAGCGTTTACTGTTTACGATGTAATGTTAACGACCTTTTGATTGATCGACAGGTGCCAGCGCAGTTTGCTTTCATAGCTAAGTTAGATGAGACTAGGTATTGTAAACCTTGGTTGTCGGTCAAGCCTCCTTTGGGAATTATATCTAAAGGTTAGAGAAGTTCATTCTTTACCGTTACCTATTTTTATTACAATAATCTATAATTATATGAAATAATCATCATTACAATTGTCATTATCATCATCATCATCTGATTTCTCTCCTCAACGCTTTTTGCAACACAGTATTGATTATTTGCCTCAGCATTGGAACAGTATCTTAGCTGATTTCCGGCAGACAGGCAGTATTACTTTTTTTATTCATTAGTGCAATTTCTTATGAAGAATCTGCGTCATGTCCATCGGAGAGTAATATTTTTCTCGGTGTATACGAACATAGACTGAGAAACATCACAAGTATTTACAAGTGCGACTTATCTCTTCAAGCAGTCCCTGCTTTTCAATGAAGTCAGTCGCGCTGGTAAAAAAAAAACAAAAAATCGGTGGAAAAAATATTTGATGTTAGCGCGCCGCGCAGAACTCTGGGAGTGAGGCGCACGAAAAGTAGAGACCCATACTTTTCATGCGCCTCACTCCCAAAGTTCCGCACGATGCGCCAACATCAATTTCTTCCTTTTTTTTTTTTTTAACTCTTTTAACTTGCAGGACGGGCCTCGCCGAAAAGCAGGGACTACTTATAGTTTAACCTATGTAAAACTGATTCAATAGTTTGTTTCCAACCATGGCAGGATCCACGTTACAAGTCCGCTTGACTGTTCATGTTGATAAAGAATCTGCCGGAGCCATGAACTCTGGAGACGAGAAACTTGAAGATATTCTCGTCCTACACTTGGAAGGAGGAAAGGACTTTTTTGTATCCTTTTTTGCATACGACTTTCAGACAGACTGGTCAAAGCTTGTCATCGTAGTTATCGTTACTGATGTGATGATGTCCATACATTTTCTGGTAGAGTTTATAGAGAGAAGTGAACGACTTTTTCCTAAAACTCAAGGGAGGGGCAACATCTTGGTTCATCTTCTCTCGTAACGTATTTTCCTATTTTCTTGTTATCCTTGCTTTTCATCTTTTATTTTCTTAACGTTTTATTTCAGTCAGTAATAGATCTTACTTTACTGATCACTCATAGTACCATTTTCAATTGAGTCTTGAAAGAAGCTAAGATTGTATTGTTTTTGCTGTACTTCGCTTTATGATTGGTCCAAAAGACTCGTGCCACTCTCTCAACCAATCAGATTCAACTAAAACCAAACAGTCCTTTAGATCATTTTCCCTTCTGGTTGGCCGTTCTAACAAGTTTGGCTTTAGTTTACTACCCTTAATTGGAAAGCGCTGCAATAGAATGTGAGCTCTACAAGTCCTTGAGATAAAGAAATAGAGCAAAGAAAAAAAAGGAAAATTTCTCGGCTTTCTGGATTTCTCAACGTTAGAGGGGAGGGGGGGGGGACGTTAGAAAGATCAGTGAGAAAGATAAGAACATGTGTACAACACGTTTTTCTTTAACGATATGCAGGTGTCAGTCAGTGGTAACTATCTTCCTAGCGTGTTTGGTTCGTCTATTGAGGCATTAGTGCGCATGTACGGACCTATCAGGGAAGTTCCTGTTGCAACACTAGTAGATTTGGTAAGTTTGGCATTATGTGATATTGCTCAAATGGGTTAAGGGTAGTATTGTGATTAAACGTATTTAAAGTAATTTCAAAATCAACGTTCTGTTAAAAAGCATGTTAATTTAAGGTGTCTTTTCTTCCAGGAGCACATCAATACGTCAAATCCTTCGACGCTCTCGGATAACCAGCCACTAGACATTCCAAAAGAGCTATGGCTTCTTACAGATCACTTGTATAACTTTGGCATGCGTAAGGTTGGACAAGTCACGGTTTTTACACACAGGTACATTGAAGGCAACCTTGTAAACTGTTTTCTTTTGATTTACTGCAGGAGAATTTATTGAAGCAGTCTGGATTCGAGAAAGATCTGGAAGAGATCAGGACACATTTAGACTGTTGTCGAGGTGGCAAACTGCGTATCCTTTTGTTGTTTCAAAGGAAATTGTTTGAAATATTTCAAAATATCTTCAATCTCTGTGCTGGGTTTTTTTTTGCGTAAAGGAGCCTAATGGCTCATTTCAATTTTTTTCTGCAGTTCCTTCCATTGCAATTCATCTTGTGATCATTTCGCTATTTGACATCTTCCACATATCAGAATTTGATGTACTTCATTTATTTGTGGAGTTTACTCTAATGGCATGAAACAACTAGGAAAGGTTTTGCTGTTTAACATCTTGATATGACTGTCATTCTGTTAACAGTTATCACACAGGATCTCAATGAAGAATGCATAATATACCGAGTTGTTTATAATGCGTCGTCCTATTGCTTCAGGTCCACTTCAGTTTTTTTCTCTTTGTATCATTCTTTATGGTGTGACCTGTAGTTTCCATCGCTGCTGTATTTATAACGTCACATAACGCTCGTTCTCCTGAACGTGTGACGTGACGAGTTCAACGAACGGTCGTGAAAGAGAACATGTAGCCCGTGATATATGTTTTACAAACTGTCATAAAACCTTTTGTGTTTCTTTGACTGTTTTCATAGCCGGTAGCGTTTACTCTATAGCAGAAGCTTTACTTATTTTCTTGGAAGCCCTACCGGAACCTGTGATTCCGTATGCGTTTTATCAGAGAGCGCTTGAATGTTGTAACAACTACATGCTTTGTAAACAGGTTTGTCATTTAACTTTTAAGGGTTTGTGAGGGGGCTACGTATGTTGCTATTTGTTATTCGATCAGTTTGGTGAAAAGACCTCTTTGGCTGTTAAACTTGTTTGATAGGCATTAACGCGAGGCAGAGGAATTTTCCATTGAGTGTCGAAAGTAATGTGACATTATATCGGGTTTCCTTATCTGCGCTATTTGACTGATCCAGAATGCTCGTTCCGCCAATCACATGTAGTACCTAAGTCAATCGCCCCCCAAGCTTCCTGCGCTTAATGCTTATGGTTTCATTGGCTCGATGTTTCATTTACCTTTGCCTATGATTGTCTTCAAAGTACTGCAGTATCCAAACTTATCTTTATATCTGTGAACCTCAACCTTAGTGGTTGCATTTGGCCTGTGTAGACCTGTACATGTGTTTTCAAGAGAAGTATGGAGTCCTCAGTGTCTGACTGTTGTCTTTTCACTTGCAGGTAATTCTTCAAATCCCTAAGAGCCATCGGAATGTGTTCACATACATCAGTGCCTTCCTGAGAGAGCTGCTACAACATTCCAATGACAATAAACTGGACGCCAAAACTTTGGGTCAGTCTATGAGTGCATAGATATTGGGAAGAACTTGATTACAACGAAAAAAAGTTCTGTTGAAAAGGGCGTAAGAAAAATTCAGGGACTGAGGAAAAGTTATATTTGACGAAAAGTGACACACAATTTTTCCTTGGAAATTGTATTTTTCAGGAAATGTAAATAATGTAAATGTCACTTAGCCCTTTAACCTCTAAGAGTGACTGGCATCTAATTTCTCTTCACAATATCAGCCCTGAATCAGACATCAAGGTCATTAGAGTAAAGGGAAATGATCAATAACCGAAGAACTCTTGACTGTTAAACAAATTCTCCTTTTCAGACCCTCTAGAAATGAATAGAGAACAGTATAGAGAATATGCATACTGATGTTAAGGTGTTAAGGGTTACGTAAGAGCTGCCCAACGGTTTGAGCTCTCGTTGTCACATGCTTTTCTCTTTCCTGAGGTGATTGATTGATTTATGTAGAACTTTTTCCTTTTCACTAGCCCCCTTGTTTACCTTGGCTTTGCTAACATACCCTCTCCCTTACTACAGCTACTTTGTTTGGTACCTTGTTCCTAAGAGCCCCCAGAAATAAAGAGGCGGGGCTCAGCAGGAGATCTGTCAATCAATTGACGCAGAAGAAAGCGCGTTTCATGTACAACTTCCTGATCAACGAATTTGGACCGGACTGAGCCCGCGATGGGTGCAATCTGCAGCAGTCAGCCCCAGTTTCTTTGTACTCTTGTGTAAAGTTGTTAGTATATTATATATTTCACAATAGCTATATTTCATGATAGTTTATTTTTTGGGGGTGTGCTGTCCTTTAAAAAGGTATTTTATTAAATAACAGCTTTATTTTTTATCATATGTTTTGTAAATAGTTAGTTACTTCTACGCAATGTTTGATTTACACTTCAACACCGTTGTGGAAAAATGTTTGAAGAATCCACAACTAAGTTATAGTAGAGGTTATACTTAGAAATTTTAAGCTCTCTTGTAAATTTTGGAATTTTGTGCTTTCAGGAAACCCTTAATAATGTAATGATAGCAAATATTGATTCGCTTTACAAATAGATAGGTGGGGCCATCCGTTTTATTAGTATTTGTATCCACTGTTGTCGGGATTGTTTTTCTCTAGTAGTGTGTTACATTTCCTCAATCAATCGAAAAACGCTTCATGTCCTTCTTGCTTTTCTTTTTTTCATCCTCAATGGTGAATGTTGTCGTCTTGGTTTTGGTAGTGAAAGGATCAGGACATCTCTCGGATAAATATCCTCAACGTTCTCATTACCGTTTTCTCACTTGTGACGTGACTATAAAATCCTATGTCGACTTGTATTTAGGCCTCTCTCCCTCCTTGTTCCTCATTTTTTCTTTCTGTTTGTGTGTTTGAGACATTTTGAAGGAAAGAACCACAGTTTTTGTCGTTATTTTTTTTGGCATCTATTTACTGACTTGACAACAAAGAAATGCTTTGAAGCTAAAATTACCCTCGGGCTTTACAAGACGAGCCAACGTTGACACAAATAAGTTATTTTTGTTCAACATTCTGGAAACATTCACGCGAGTCATGATAATATTCTTTGCAGTCATTCTGTGTTTTTCGAGACTAAAGTCAGCTGGGAAAGCTCGGTAGAGATTGTAAGACAGTTCACATTTTTACGTTATCTACGAGAATCTATTCAAGCGACGAGTAAGATTGCGTTTGGATAAGAAAATTAATTTTTCTACTGAATTTTGTGCCCACCGATGCGGAGAAAACCCTAAGTATTTTTTACCCTAGTTATTTTGAGTCATCATCCATCTACACTCTGACATTATTAGATTTCTTCTTAGTATGTTAAGTTTAATAATTTTCCGTCAATAGTAAAATGTAACATGAAACTGTTAGATCTGCTAAATTTTGTAGGTTAGCAATATTGCATGATTTGCAATATATTGCAAAAGCCCCTAATTTTATTCTCAATGCTACGTAAGGGTAAAGGTTTCTGGGCTTTCCTTCGGAGTAATAGTTTTACTTAAAAAGTAAACATTGAATTATGAAATGAAATGATTTTATTATTTGAATTACGAATTAACATCACTTAAAATATTGCAATGTTTTCCGGGCGCAATACATAAAGATTTGACACGAATCATGCAGTATAAACAGTACAGGCATTATTCAAATTAAATGCACGAGAATACGTAAAAGTTCTGCAACTTTGCGATTGTTTTGTTCTGAAATTGTTGTCGTGCAAACGCCATCAAGTCGTTTGAATCCCAAAGTTACTAACGAGCTTAGTTTGTGGATTTATCAGGTCTTTAATCACATTTCGCCCAGGTTTCGGTAGACGGCCGGGTTTCAATTGTCAAACGAAGTTCAAGTGATTGTTTACTTTCGAAGGAGCTTAGTGCTGATAATGAGGCGTTACTTCAGTGCGAGTTACGTTAATTCAAAAAGCTCTGTTACAATATACCACGCGAGTAATACAGTTTAACATCGAAAAAAGAGATCGAAAACCACGAACGTTCTTCGCGACACGTTGCCTGACACTACGAAAATCACTTAACATAAACAGCTGTCGCCACAACGTTTCTCTTGTATTTAAGATTGATACTGAACATTACAGTCGTTATATTTCGGCGAAACTGTTAATTTACTTAAGAAGATTTATCTATGCTCGCACCCAGGGAAGGCGATCTTATTTTTATTTAAATAACTAAATTTTCCCGCTTTTACGTGGTTCCTTCGATAGCTCAGTTGGTAGAGCGGAGGACTGTAGAGTACATGATTGTTATCCTTAGGTCGCTGGTTCGAATCCGGCTCGAAGGAAATTTTTTCCTCATCGAGTGATTCTTTTTTTCTTTTCTTTTTTTTTTTTCGACTTCCGTCAATATTTGTTTTCTTTTTAGTTTTGAGATTTTTATTTCATATTTCTACATGCTAAAATCACTATTATCTTTACTCCGACCAGAGATAAACGTACTCTCGCCGCAACGCCATCATATGTATATGAATTGAAAATGTCGATAAAACGATATTAAACTAAATCCTAAAAAGTGTAAATGTATAATTTCAACAAATGGCCACTCGCAATGACAGGAGCAATTTATTTGGATTACGCGCATTTCAAGAATTGGATTTGACATAAACCACTCTTATCATTCAATAGTTCAACTTTAGCTGGATTGGTAGTCGGAAAAAGATCGCAAGGTTAGAGAGTGGGGCTCTAGCCTACATCTTATTAGCGCTGATGCTAAAAAAGACCCCCAAAATATGTATTTAGCTTTGGCGTTTGGGCGACTTAATTTCCCTGAAGAAGTTGAGGCCCTCATGTCAAACAAATAAGGACATTTTTTGTTTTAGAGCCCATTTCAAGATGGCGGCCACTTACCGTGAATGACTGGTATCTAGTAAACATGGACGATTAGCACTGGGTCGTACCAGCTTTCCTTCCGGCCTCTTCCAGTGCATTACTTCTCGAGCCGGTTCTGATCGCTGGTTTGATCCTTGGATGCGTAAAACACGTCGCCATTTTAAAAGTTAGTAAAGTACAAAATCATGAAGGTTTAGGAAGTCAAATATTTCTCGGTTTCAAGCATTTCAAGGCTTAGTGGCGGGCGAATTCTTCGCCTACTCTTCGTCCTTTCTGTAAAGAAGTTTCTAATGTTCTTCAAACTTCTGGAGTTTCTTCTGCTGGGAAGAGGGTCTTAAAGCGAAATCATTTGCATATTACGCTCAACTCATTGCGGGAACTGTTATACGAATATAAGTAACTTATGCGGTATATAAAGTATAGTTAATTCCAATTTTCCAAATTTCACAGGTTAGACAAAAAGGCAATAAAGGTTGAGTTTCTACTCGTTTTTACTTTCAATAAAACACCTTAAGGTTGCTGTTTTATACAATTTTTTCCAACATGTCCTATTGTCGATGTACGGTGTAATCTTTCGCCGTTTTTGTGATTTTTGTTTCAGATTTAATTTCTAAAAGATTCATAGACATTTTCTGAAAATTTCGTCCTAATTTGTTCAATTTTGAGTTCAATAGATGCATCTTATTAAGGGCTGCATGTCTTTTGAGCGATGTTTTGCTGTCAACAAACCTCACACATATAGGGACTTTGGAAGATAATCGGTTACATGATCACTGTAGACAATGATCTATTTAAAACGGCATCACTATGCGACATACAAGGTCTAACACTTATTAGAAGCTCCGCGCGCTTGAGCGCATCTTCCACCCTGTCTCGTCACTACTGGCTTGTGCAACCACGTGGTTTTTACCTTAAACGCATCAGGGAAGGCAAGGCTAAAATGCACGGGAAAACGACGCGAATGGTGGTATAAGAAAATATTTTTTCATTCGAAACTCTCCAAATATTCCGTATGCCTTTTTTTGAGCACATGACACTTTGGTGGCACACTACATCAGCAGCTGTTTCATTCCGGGGGTCTATGACCTGAACCTCAAAAATGTCCGTTTTGTTTTCCTTGTGTTAGACTGTGTATTCAGGAAGAGCTGTGGCAAGAATATAAAGTTTGTTTTGTCAGCAGAAGGAACCATGTGCTGCCAGGTCCACAAATCGAAGGAGACAATGTATAAACTGTGAAGGACTTAACAAATGTTTTTAATAGATTTTTCATTTATTATAATCAAATGTATACTGGCTGTACACTGATCAACGCAGTCAGTTAAACTATTGCATGAAATCAGTCTAGAATAGAACGTTGTTATCAGGAACTAATAATCGCGTTTTCTTGCCATGCGGGTAAACTGTCTTGACCCTTATTCCTCTAATACTCATAGACGAGCTATAAATAGACACTATGCATTTGTGGTTGTATTATTGATAGACAGAATTCGACTTCGCATTCTCTTTGACTTTTTACCATTTGTTTCTTAGCTTGTTTTTATTGGATTCGTTGAGTCACGTTGTGGCTCTCTGATATAAAATGTGCTCCAAAAATTTCAATCTTAGCCCTTCCCATCTCCGGCAACCATGCCCATTGGTTAAGAAACGGATGTGGAGGTTGTCGTAAGGTACAATTTCCCACGAAGAATATTCATCAAGGGAATCAATAAAGTAATTCTCGCAACAGGGAATTGAAAATAATCCGACCACGCAAAGAAAACTCGTTCCCATCGGAAAAAAAGCTCTGTTTTCACTTTTGCACGCAAGTTAGGGAAATGACGTAATCCTCATGGTATCTATAGAGACGTTTTTGTGGAAGTTTATTCTGTTTATACTGTGAAAATACCAATCAAAAAGTGGGTTATTGTAAAAGTTAATTTGCTATTTATAGTTTCAAACTACGTATCGAGGATACGTGAGCAGGACTTACTATTTAGTAAAAATTTAAAGCTGTGGGATATTAGAAGCCAAGCAGATGGAATCAGTAAAGTTTTCTACTGTTATTAATTAGTCTACTGTTATTAATTAGCAATAATTAGATACTTTGGGGTCTCCTGTTTAATCTCTCCCCTTTCGTTTTCTCTTAAGAGAGAGAAGTAACTTGTTCTATTTCACAGTATTGATATCAGTGATCCAAGATCGGGTTTATGTCGTTTTGAAAAACTCTAGAAACGGTGCGAGAAACAGCATTGATAACTCGCAGCGTTTTATAAGAAAACTGAACGCCCAGTTTTCAACTTCACCATATAAAACATAAATTAACAGATGCAAATTAAAGTTATCAGTTATAAAAATAACTCGGCAAACTGTTTTTTTGGCAGCCAAATAAACAACATTTTACTTGCGCTGCAGGCGTTTTTGTAAGGTCAAAGTTTCTTTCTTTCTGGTGTAAGCTAGGTCCATCTAATTACAAAGGCAATTCAGAAAGAGATTGATCGTTTCCTACCGATCTAATTGTTAACGGAACTGTACATGTATTTCCTTCCGAGAAGAAAGAGGGCAGCCCCACGCGATGTTGATTTTGTGCTGACCTTTAAGGCTTAAAAACTATAACAATGTTGTTATTTTTGGCGTTGATCTGAAAAACCCTATTGACAAAATTAAACGATTTATCACTATTCTGTCAAAACAATAGAGATTCACATGCGTTCTCTTAGACCGAATAATTTTCGCAACGCATAAGTGATTAATTGGATGTTGAGACATGTATGAGCAAATGTCAGTATTTTGTAGCACGCAATCATATTTTTTTTTTCAAAAAAAGAATAATTTTCGTAAAGTTATAAATTTTGGTTAAAATTAACAAAACTAACAGGTACTTAAGTGCACTTTGTCACGCTGCGCCCTAGCAACTTTTGGCGGGAAAACTTAAGCGTATGATGGAAGGCGATGGCTGTCTTTTTATCACTGCGGTTTTCGGTGTAGATCAGTGGGGCCACATTTAAAAGCCAGCGAGGTAGAGTATTTTCATCGATATCATATGGAACATTTTTCTTCTTGTCGCGCTCACAGTTGCAAGAACTCCACTTCTATGTGTCTGATACTCTAGTTTTTCTGTCGAGCTTACGAGTCATTTCACAGGGAGACTGAAAGAAACAAGAGAATTTTTCGTTCAACTACACGAGCATACTCGTAGAAAAGGGGCTTCGACGGAGTCCTGGCAGAACTTCGGATGCTCTACCACACAACTACAGATAGCTCCCGGTAATCTAGTCATCATAAAGCTAAAATTTCGGGGCAGAAACCACTAGAGAGCGAACACCATTGATTGGCGCTCCTCTCTTTCCGGCTAGTTTCTTCAGTTTTTTTTTCCTCAATGACGTTCTCGTAAACTTGGTATTTCAGAATGTACCTTTTCCAACTCGCATGAAACTCACGATTATGCGTCACTGACTCGAAACTTTTACTAGCGCAAAGGTTTCTGAAACGTTGGAGTTCCAGACCTCAGTTCTCAATATCGATTTTAGACTTGTTTTTCTGGTTGCATCTTCATTTTGTATAGTCACTTGTAGATAACGCTTTGTTCTTCAAGAATTTCCTCTCT